TCTGCATACCAGCTTCTTAGTCCAGCTCAGGTTGATCCTGGTCACTATGGCAAAAGGGACTTGGAAAGAGATCAGACTTTGCAACAACTGACACAGCAGAAGCAAGGAGTCGAGAGGACAAAAAACAGGCTAGAGGAGTTCAAGGAAGAACACTCTCTGCTACAAAATCTCTGACAATGGGTACAGGGCGCTCCTCTCGCCTCCTGGGTAACAGGTTCAGTTCAAATACCGTGCCACTGCTCCCTGCCTTGTATTAATCAATCAGAGTGTGTTTAACTCAATCCTCGGCCTGATAAGCACCACACAAACAGCTATGGACACATGCAGACGGACAGGTCAGTCGGTGTACCAGTATCACCTGAACTCCAGGACCTGGGACTTAAGTAATGAGATTCTTGAACCCTGTTTTGACTTGGTGGGGAAGAAGCACAAAAAAACCGGACTATTGTTACTAGGAGGAAACGGTACAGTTGATGGTGGTAAAGTTTACCCCCCCCTTCTTTGCTCCCACTGTGCTTCTGGAGACAGAGTGCACTGATGAGTGAGTGAGTGCACATTGTAATTCCACCACCCCCTGCTGGGCCTGTCTAGGAGCAGCCCTTGCCTTGCAATCCCGGCAAGGACTGGCAGCCCCAGAGACGCCTGAGTGAAAGCAGACAGGAATCTAGGAGTGAAGTCTTTGGGGATTCAACACGGCAGGAATCAAAGAGAAAAGGGGGAGGAGAGGCACACCCCTGCTGGGTAGAAATTCTGTGACTTCCATCGCAAGGAAGCTGATCACAGAACGGCACGCACGTAAGCATTTAGAAAGCGGGCTAAACCTCCAGACAAATCTGAATCCGGGATGACTCTGCCAGAACCAGGTCACGACCTGGTGACTTACTGGTAGCTTTCACACACCAGCTCCTCTGTGCCAAGCGATGAAAAACTGGCAGTCGATATGGAATGAAATGTTCATGTTGAGATTCTGGGAAAGTGAACCTAAATTCTGCACCGGCACAAGCTGGATTTTGCAACATGCCCCAATTACAAGAATATGCATATGTTGCCCAATTGATTCTGTTCTGGTTAATCTTGGGGGAAAGCAATGAGCCATGCAGGGTACCAAAATCTTATCCCTGAGCCCTGGAAATCCTGCCTGGCTCTTCTCTATAGATGGCTAGAATCCACTGGGAATTACCCATATACTATATCCAGCCTATCATGACAACCAAAAACGATGTAGACTTGCTTTTGAAGAATGAAAACAAGATGCTGATGGTCAAATTCCACTGCCGCACATACACACAGCCAAAGTCATCATCCTCATTTTACCAAGAGAGTATAAACTTCTGTCACTCTCTCACCGTAACATGCAGACAGCCTTATCTGTGCTGCAACATCAATACGCTGTGCATTCCCACCCCCCTGGGGAGGGGCCGTAGCTCAGTGGAAGAGCCTCTGCCTTGCATACAGAAGGCCCCAGGATCAATTCCTGGCACCTCCATTTAAAAGGACCAAGTAGTGGACAATGGGAAAGACCTTTGCCTGAAACCCTGGGGAACCGCTGCCTGAAACCCTGGGGAACCGCTGCCTGAAACCCTGGGGAACCGCTGCCTGAAAAGACTGACTTTGATAGACCAGTGGCCTGACTCAGTATCAGGCCACTTCATGTATTCTCTCTCCTGGCTACTGCTGGCAGTGCCAAGGTGCTGCAGAACACGACGATGTCCTCACAAGGACTGCCGGGAGCCATCCTGGGTTGCCAGGCAGAGATTCCTCTGCCCCTCGTCTCACATTCAGAGGGATACACACAGGATGCTTGATCCAAACAGGTCTGCTGCTGTTGTCTACCCAGCAGCCTATTGATCAGCTCCTACAATTCCCAGAGCACCCCACACACACCGTTTAGCACCTCTTACTTGAGCATGCCTGAAGTTTAGTGTGCGTGGAGGGGGGGGGAGAACTCAACAGAGGGCTGCAGGACAGGCAGTTCCATTCACAGAGGTCCAGCACAGAAAGAAGAAGTAGTAGTAGTAGTAGTAGTAGTAGTAGTAGTAGTAGTAGTAGTAGTAGTGGTGGTGGTGGTAGTGGTGGTGGTGGTGGTGGTGGTGGTGGTGGTGGTGGTGGTTGTGCTGCTGTCAAGTTGCTACCAAGTTGCTACCAACCCATAGGATTTTCAGGGCAAGAGACATTCAGAGGTGGTTTGCCAATGCCTGCACCTGCATAGCAACCCTGGACTTCTTTGGCGGTCTCCCACCCATTTGCTAACCAAGGCCAACCCTGCTTAGCTTCTGAGATCTGACGAGATCGGGCCTGATTGGGCTAGCAAGCACTACAGACACTGAAATCCACATAATTTCATCGCTGCCAATATATATATAATGTAAAGAGAACTTTCAAAACATTTTAACACTGGTGTTCCCACCAGCTGTCAGCAGAAAGCACGGATAGCTGCAGGGCTTCCTGACACTCCCCTCCCCAGAGAAGCCATTTCTGACCCGGGAGAAGTTTGTTTCTGGGGTGGGCCTGCATGGGGGTGACAGCCAGGCAAGTGGAGAGGAGATGGTGGGGAGAGGGTGAAATCACTCCCTCCTGCTTCTTGCATGAGCAGAGCTTTGCTGACAGGAGAGACAGGAGGGAGTGGTGTTGCTTTCTCTCTTTAGCACAGCCTCCGAACATGCACCCACATTACTCCACGGGTTCTGGGACCTCCCAGAAATAAACGTTTCTGGTGCCAGAAATGGCTGCTGGGGAAGAGGAGAGCTGGACAGATCAGGAATACATGAACACATAAAGTTGCCTTATATCGAATCAGGCCACCGGTCCATCAAAATCATTATTGTCTGGCAGCTGCTTTCCAGGACATCAGGCAGAGGACTTTCCCATCACCTACTACTTCGTCCTTTTAGCTCGAGTTTTCCAGGATGGAACCTTGGACCTTTTACATGCCAAGCAGATGCTCTACCACTGAGCCACAGTCCCTCCCCTATCCTTACACGGCCCTCAGAAAATCCTTGCACTGGATCTGCCGCTCACCCCTTTTTGATTTCCTTTTTGGCAGGCTTTCTACTAGATTCTGGTGTTATCCTTCATCTCAGTGAAAACTCGTTTGTCTAGAACCTCTTAAGAACATGAGAGAAGCCACGTTGGATCAGGCCAGTGGCCCATTGTGTCACACCATGGCCAAACCCCAGGTGCCATCAGGAGGTCCACCAGCAGGGCCAGAACTCCAGAAGCCCTCCCGCTGTTGCCCCCCAAGCACCAAGAGAACAAAGCATCACTGCCCCAGACAGAGTGTTCCATCTAGATCTTCTAGCAAATAGCCGCTCATGGACCTCTGCTCCATATGTTTATCCAATCACCTCTTGAAGCTGTCTACACTCTTCACAAACAAAGGATACGGTAAACAATAAATAACTATAAAAATGTGAAAATCAAACAAGCAGTCTTGTTACAACCTAGACTACTTAATTCCTATGGTGCTACAGGGCCCGTTTATCTGTGCTGCAAAGGCCTCGACACAGGACTAATACATTTAAGTAGAGAACTGCTCCACGCCACATTCCAAGCATAAACTAACAGCGCCAACATTCTAAAAAACAGATGGATTTTACTGGAAGCACACAAGGGTGAATGTGGATTTGTCGACTTGTTTATATCTGTGCCCTTGGTCATTTGGAAAAGGCGTAATGTGGCACCTGACAGTTTCGGAGGGGACTGGCTGGCTTTTCGTTAAATGGAAAAACCATTTGTGTTTGTGTAAAGGTGAAGCCCGCCAGGTTTTCAGTTATATTTTGGAGTTTTCTTTGTTTATGAAGACACCCCTTCATAAAGAAGGTCTAACTCAGAGGACCCCAAAGTGGTGGCTACTGACACCTTTTTCAACATCGGCCAAGTATTTTTAGGAAATTGGTGGGGCCAGGTGGAGCATGTGCCCAGTAAGGTTTCTGATTGGCCACTGGAGATTTGATTAGCTGTGCAGATTTTTTAAAAGGTTTCTTTGGCAGCAGCAGCTGCTACTACAGCACCAGGATCTTCACTGTGTTATTGATGTTAAATTGTGGCAAACACTTTGTGACTGGCTCCACCTCCTCAGACAGCCATTTTGTGCCAGCCATTTTGTTGCTGCGCCATACCGTGACAGAATTCCAAATGTGCCCTCAGGCTCAAAAAGGTTGGGAACCCCTGGTCTAACTGAAGAAGGAGATAATGCCAACTCCAAAGGAAGTATGTTAAAAGAGAATATGAGAGGAGATTTTGAGGGATGGATGGACTTTAAAAGTTCGCAAAAGCCTGCCGAAGGGCTTTTACAAGGGAAGTATGTGAAAAGAGTCTGTGAATCCCTACTCTCCCACAGAAACTCCTTAGGTGACCTTGGGCCAATCACACTCCCTCAACCTACTTCAAAGGGTTGTTGTTCTGAAGGAGAGGAGAATAAAGTTGTAAGCTGCTTTGGGTCCCCATTGGGGAACAGAGCAGGGTATCTATCTATCATCTATCTATCCATCCATCAATCCCCTTCACCCATCCATCCATCCATCCCTCCATATGAATAAATAGTTTTTGATATAATCTATTCATATAAAAAATAAAAAGTCCCATGTATAGTACGATGTTGGCAATATGAAATGATGTCTCTGCTGTTTGCCTGTGTTTATAATTTGGCATTTTCAGAGATTAGTCTCTATTGTTCTGTTACAAAAATGAACTGGACATTTGCCTCTAAAAATCCTGAATCAAAAACAAACATTCCAGCCAATCTACCCTGCGTTTGGTCCCGTCCCCTCCATTATGTACTACAATGCAATCTTACATATTTGAATGGTTCGGTCATCCGAGCTCATACAAAGTGCTAATTATGAAATGCGACAGAGTGACATGAAACCATATGGCAGCTGACAACAGAATTAGAAACCTGGCATCGCTGGGCTGTTCTTCCCTAGCCCGCCCGCCCCCATCCAATGGCTGCAAAAAAGCCACCCCACCCATCCTTTCTGGAATAGCACTGCCGCACCCACCCGTTCAAAGGGTCCACCACAATGGCTCGCGGGTGAGTCATCTTTCCTTCAATCAGGGTCTTCCTGGTCTGAGCCGCTTTCTGAAGCCGGGCAACGCTGATGGTCTTCTTGGGGCCATCGTCGGTCCAGTAGAGATTGTTGCCCATCCAGTCCACAGCAATGCCTTCCACATTGTGAATCCCTGTAACGAGTTAATACCAACCAATGCGCTCAGTAAGGCCAAGCCTACCGCCAGAGGGGGACACATCAGACACCAAAGATGGAAGTGAAAGCGACAGGACCATATGAGCGGTGCCAGGCACTCCATTATGCGATCTCTTACTGAAAGAGACAGGGCACGGGGCACGGCAGATACACAAAAGAGGCCGAGAGCGCATCAAAGATGGAGCCGAGCGTTTAGGTAGTATGAAGAAATTTAAAACACATAAAATAATAAAAACCCGTGGAGTGTTCTTCTTTCCAGTACCCACCAGCTAGCCTATAACCCGAAGAGGAATAATGGGCACCACATTTCAAATACTACTGAGGTTCTATCCAAATCCTGTTGAGATTCTAAACAGAACCCTTCTCCCAATAGTCAGAGCACCATGCCGATGGAAAGATGCTCCAGCACCTAATATGTTTTTATTTTTTTATTATTATTTAGATTTATATTCTGCTCTCCCTGCGAACGGG